CAATGTAACTTAAAGAAGACTTACGGTACTCTTCCAACAATGTAACTTAAAGAAGACTTACGGTACACTTCCAACAATGTAACTTAAAGAAGACTTACGGTACACTTCCAACAATGTAACTTAAAGAAGACTTACGGTACACGTCCAATAATGTAACTTAAAGAAGACTTACGGTACACTTCCAGCACCCAGCCGTCTTCTATGGTACTATCCTGTATTAAACGATTTTCAGCTTTACAAGACAAGTACTTTCCGTTGTCCTCCATGGAAGACCGTATGGTGAGGAAACTAGTGGTCAAAGTCTCATCTTTGTTAGTGCGATTTTTAGTGGATCTCAGCTGTGTTGACCCTTTCCACCATGTGATTTCTGCCGGAGGACGTGAGCCTGAGGTGCGGCACTCAAGCTGGACCATTTTCCCTGAAGACAAGGGCAGTCCTTTCTGCTTTATAGTTACAGTCAAGGGCCTAACTAGAAAAAGTTTAGAGGCTATTTTACTCGCCCGTTGAAGGTTTTTCATCTATTACAGACGTATCTATTACCTTGTATTGGTCATATGTCGAGTTTGTATTTTTTATATTAAGTACAAAGCTACAAGATGGGTTATCTTTGCTGTGCCCACCACGGGTATCGAAACGGGTAGAGTTATAAGCCTGCAGACTTGCAGCCAAGCCACTGGGGCTTTCGAGTCTAAAGTTTATTCAATCATTTGGGCCTTTACTGGACATAATTTCAAATCAATTTATTGGCTTGGCGTGCATCAGAAGGCCTCAGAACGAGTTTGAAATATTTTAACTCTGCCCAATACTTTCTATTTGAATCTACGTGTTTATATTGTTAAGTTCTTCAGTGCGAAAGTAGGCTTAAGTCAGTTTATTGATCAGCTTGTCTGCATGCTATTCGTTGTGCGTGAGCTGAAATACGCAGAGTAAGACGTTAAGCTATGCAAATATAACCCAATATTATCTTGATCTTATTTTGTTGAAAAGAAACGATTACCGACTCAAATGGTGTATAGGATCAAGGCTTAACATTTAAAATCACCGAGTAGACGTATATGAGATTATTTTAATATTCTAACAAACTTTTCTTAAAGCAACAGAAAGGACATTAATTCATAGCGTTTTATTGAATGTTTGATGAAAAAAGACGGCCATGATTTTTTTTTAGACTTTAAAATACGACAAAATAAAGACTTTTGTTAGGTGAACAATAGTAAAGTTAGCCTTACGACAACTGCTTGCTATAAACAAATAAAACAACAGTTAGAAAAAAACCGTTGAGCTCTAGACCGAATCGATTCCAATAAAATGAACATTACAGCTAACATTTTTGATTTATTTGACATTAAAAGATGGACAGAGTATGCTAATAATATGCGTGTCATGCAAGTCTGAACTTAAACATTCAACTTGACACTGAGGTCAACTCGTATCGTGCTACATTAAACACTTTTGGACAACAGTGTGACAGTTCTTTTTGTTTTCGTCTCTGATAAGAACGACTTAATCCAACCTGAAGACGTTCGCTTCTCTGTTAGGACTTTATTTTCCTTTAACAGCTTTTTTACCGCAATGGTCCGATTGTAAAATATCCATCGAGGTTAGGACGTGTTTCAGAAGTGTAGAAATAACTTCCTTGGTCTGCAGTCTTTACACAGTGAACCACTGTAGGTACTTGTTTTAAAATGCTTTATTTTTTTCAATTGGTAACTCCCCCCAGAGATTTCCATACGTAGTGATATGGTCCGCACATGCATACCCCTCGGGCCCTTCGTTTAAATACGAAGGAAGATTTCCATAACGGCCATGTTAAGATCTAGTTGTTCCTGAGGGAGTTATTACTGTCCACACGTCTCATGGCAGTAGCCTAGACATTCGAAAGAACTGTCTATTTGAATATTGGAACGTTAGACAGAGACGCTCTTCATAAAGAGATTGGAACAATATACTCAGGCAACATTTTCCAATAAAAGGTTGGAACAATATACACGGATAACATTCTTCTAATAAAAGATTGAAACAACATACACGGGCAACATTCTTCTAATAAAAGATTGAAACAACATACACGGGCAACATTTTCCAATAAAAGGTTGGAACAATATACACGGGCAACATTATTATACTAAAAGGTTGGAACAATATACACGGGCAACATTCTTCTAATAAAAGGTTGGAACAATATACACGGGCAACATTCTTCTAATAAAAGGTTGAAACAATATACACGGGCAACATTATTATAATAAAAGGTTGGAACAATATACACGGGCAACATTCTTCTAATAAATGGTTGAAACAATATACACGGGCAATACAGAATGTTTCTTTATACACAGCATACTATTTCGAATAACAATATTTCATGAATTATTTTCAAGACATGTTTAGTTATTAATACTTCTATGTCTGAAGCGCCCTTTATACAGCTTTTTTTCGGATTCTAAAGAGATATAATAGTTTTCCCATGATTTGAACCTTTGTGTCTAGACACAACAGACTGGATGCATAAAAATCGTGAATATATAAGATGAATGAACCAATTTTATCAGTTTTATTTTACTACCACTATTTTCTCGACTTTACAAAAAGTCGACTAAAAAAATCTGATAATTTTATTTTTTTTAAAAAGTCGACTAAAAACCTGATAGTTTTATTTTTTAAAAAAGTCGACTAAAAACCCGTCCCCGTCCCATCTAACATGCTCGCCCTTTTAGCCGTGGGGGCGTTATACTTTGACAGTGAATCCCACTATTCGCTGGTAAAAGAGTAGCCCAAGAGTTGGCGGCGGGTAGTGATGACTAGATTCCTTCCCTCTAGTCTTACACTGCTAAATTAGGGACGGCTAGCACAGATAGCTCCCGTGTAGCTTTGCACAAAATTCAAAACAAACAAAGAACCCGATATTTGTATTTGAAAAAAAAAGAGACGACTAAGAACCCGATATTTGTATTTGAAAAAAAGAGACGACTAAGAACCCGATATTTGTATTTAAAAAAAAGAGACGACTAAGAACCCGATATTTGTATTTAAAAAAAGACGACTAATAACCTGATATTTTTGTAATAAGAGACGACTATGTCATGATATAAAAAACTGTTTGTGAAGGTTATATTAATTTATTTATTTTGTGAGCGATTATTTCATGATTGTTTAGTGTTGTTTTTTTTTTATATATATAATAAAAGTGTTAAAAGCAGACGATCATTGGATGTTATGTTCATAATTCATTGATGTTGAGGCTATCGAACGTCGCATGAAATTTATTGATGTCGAGGATATAGGGATTTCTGGAAGGTGAGTAGACGTGATAAATAGTGTGAGAGAGCGAGAACAGCAGACAGACAGACGAGAAAATAAAGTCACGGGAACTAGAAGTTCGGCAAAAGAAAGTTAAACGTAAAGTTAACTGCTGTAGGAGTGAAAGGCCTAACGGTTAATATAGGCCTAACGATTAATATGTTCGAGTAAAATTAACAGTTTTAAAAGAGATAAGTAGTAGAGTTTATTCCGCCAATGCGAGTTCTAATGTAATTGAAACAGCCTGAGTGTACTTTGACAAAAGGAACAGACGATGTCTGAAGTACGAGGACCAGACGATTACTGGAAGAGCAGTATATGACTGTAGTAACTCGTGGCACAATTGTAAGTGAATTATACACATAATACTAGTGCGATAGAAATAGGGAAATATAGTCAACTGAAATTCTAAAGTAACTGAATAGGCCTAAGTGGACTTTTGACAAGAAGAAGAGAAATATACATATAGTGTTTATGATATGCCTATAATCTCTATATCGTAAATAATTTGTTGTACATACGTTTAACTGGTTCCGAATATATATGTGTGTGCGTATATATACAGGAATTTGAAAATATAATATTAAAGAGGAATAAGCCTCATTATTTTGACAGACTAAGAGCCGCATGTTTTTGTAAAAAGAATTTACTAGCATTAACTCATTTTTGTTCTTTATCTAAATAGAAATCGTTAGGTAGAATATATTGTTATTATTCATCTTACTGTCTTCACTTTGTCTTAAGCCTAATTTTAAATATTACAAAATCCAAGTTTGTTTCCTCTGTAAGACAGTAGTGGCAGCGAATCACATGCATGGGCCTGTCCCTTTTTTATCACCAATATTATTTTTTATTAACAAACACTGTGGATAACACAGAAACAAACAATAAGAACGACTGAATCTAGAGAAGGCGAATCAAACTTAAACGAGCCAAAGTGTAAAATGTTGGTTTTGGGATAGTAGGTGATTAGAGCTTGTTCGGAGAATTAAAAGTGGACTGTCATTGACACGTGTTGTTTTATAAAAACGAATAACTTTGGAGCAGAAATAAAAATCAGCCAATTTACACAAAGAATGGTCTGTCTCGTGCAGGACTGTTCCATAAACATTAAAGTTACCAATTTGGAATTTCCTTATGTTCAGCCATTCGACAGATAAACATTCTTTATACTAATTTAAAAAAAAAAAAAAAAAACCAGATTGAGGCTAGCTTCGTGTTCCAAGCAAACATTATTATTTTTTACTAAACTTGGATTGAGGCTAGGTTCGTAGTCGAAGCAAACATTATTTGTTTTTATTATTTTTTTAATAAACTTAGATTGAGGCTAGTTTCGTGTTCGAAGCAAACATTATTTGTTTTTATTACTTTTTTTAATAAACTTAGATTGAGGCTAGTTTCGTGTTCGAAGCAAACATTATTTGTTTTTATTATTTTTTTAATAAACTTAGATTGAGGCTAGCTTCGTAGTCGAAGCAAACATTATTTGTTTTTATTACTTTTAACTAAACTTAGATTGAGGCTAGTTTCGTGTTTGAAGCAAACACTATTTGTTTTTATTATTTTTAATAAACTTAGATTGAGGCTAGTTTCGTGTTTGAAGCAAACACTATTTGTTTTTATTATTTCTAATAAACCCACGTTGGGGCTTCGGCTTATGAAACTCATTTTTTGGTCTCCTCCTTCACAAAGCGAACACTAAATCATTCGGAGAAGTATTTGTCTTATTCTTGGTTTCAATGTTACACGAGTTTCAATGGTCTTATTCTTGGTTTCAATGTTACACGAGTTTCAATGGTCTTATTCTTGGTTTCAATATTACACGAATTTCAATGGTCTTATTCTTGGTTTCAATGTTACACGAATTTCAATGGTCTTATTCTTGGTTTCAATGTTACACGAGTTTCAATGGTCTTATTCTTGGTTTCAATGTTACACGAGTTTCAATGGTCTTATTCTTGGTTTCAATGTTACACGAGGACTGTCAGCAAACATTAATATTGAACTGATATAGAATAGGGTAGGTAGATTGTCACAGCAGTGGGTGGAGCCGTTCACTGTATCTGTGTGTCACAGTAGTGGGTGGAGTCGTTCACTGTATCTGTGTGTCACAGTAGTGGGTGGAGCCGTTCACTGTATCTGTGTGTCACAGCAGTGGGTGGAGCCGTTCACTGTATCTGTGTGTCACAGTAGTGGGTGGAGCCGTTCACTGTATCTGTGTGTCACAGCAGTGGGTGGAGTCCTTCACTGTATCTGTGTGTCACAGTAGTGGGTGAAGCCGTTCAAACAATCTGTGAAGGAAGTGTTCTGTCTTACTTGGGTTGTTTAATAAATTCGTTAAACAATTTTGAAGAATAAAAACAGATATTAAAGAAAACAAAGCTAACATGTACAATTAGAGTGTATAAACAACGTTGTGCAATGAATGGTATAAGTATTATACACGCTATTTGTTCGCATGCTGTGATGATTGTACAGAGTAAATAAATATTTCCAGGTTTCATCTCAAGATACATTATATACTCACAATTCATGTTGAGCGTGACGTAGGCCGATAGAGGGAGAGATATATTGTTATTAACAGCCTGACACATTAGCACTACCATCAGATGATGTCTCTTCAGCTCCGGAATAATTAACTCGTTTCGAACTCTGCCACTAGAGGTCGTCTCATAACTGTCATCCAATAGAATGTTGTCTTTCCACCACGTTACCAACGGTGAAGGTTTACCTGACAACAAGAAACTGTAGTATTTTGAGGCGTTTGGTCCAAAAATATATTCTGGAACGATAAAACATGGAGAATGTGCTTCTACAGACTTTATTTCTAGCAAAACCGGGAGTGTTTCTTAAGATAGTTTCCATTCTTGCCGCTAGAGCGGAAAGTGGATCAAGTACTTGCTAATTTTGGAGATAACTATACCATAGCGGATACTGTCCGTGTGTAAATTAAATAACAGTAATTCATCATATCTGTCCCACAGAGATTAGATGAAAACCCAAAATTTAATATATTTCTGGAAATACTCATTAATTATACTGCAAGTAAACAAAGAGGGAAATCTAATTACATATTCTTCCCATTCATTAGGAAAACTGTTTGTTTCACTGTAAATAAAAACAAGAACTGTAAACAAATGAAAAATTAAATTTTCTGTGAAATAGCGAAACTTTTGTTTTAGTAAAGCTCTTTGAAGGTATTTGTCTACTGTTACTGAAGTGGAACAATGTCTTAAACAATTACGTTGAAGGTATTTGTCTACTGTTATTGAAATGGAACAATGTTTTAAACAATTACGTTGGAGGTATGCGTTTATTGTTACTGAAGTGGAACAATGTCTTAAACAATTACGTTGAAGGTATTTGTCTACTGTTATTGAAATGGAACAATGTTTTAAACAATTACGTTGGAGGTATGCGTTTA